CTTTTTTTTTAAAAATTTTTATTTTTAAAAAAAACTTTTTAATGATTTGAGAGAGAGAAACATTGGTTTGTTGGTTCGCTTATTTATGCATTCACTGGTTGATTCTTTTTAAAAAATATTTTTATTGATTTCAGAGAGGAAGTGAGAGGGATAGAGAGATAGAAACATCAATGATGAGAGAGAATCATTGATCAGCTGCCTCCTGTACGCCCCCTACTGGGTTCGAGCCCGCAACCCAGGCACATGCCCTTGACCGGAATCGAACCTGCGACCCTTCAGTCTGTAGGCCAACACTCTATCCACTAAGCCAAGGCAGCTAGGGCTCTCCTGGCACTTTCATCCCCCTTCCCTGTTTTATTTTTTCCCACAGTGGTTATTACCTTTTAACACATTACAGGATTTTTTGGGGGGGTCTGTCTACATTCCTTAGAATGTTCACTGCTTTACCTTCTCCATGCCCCCCCAACCCTGCATGTAGTAGATCTTCAATATGAACTGAATGAATAAAATTGTACTAGTCAAGGATTTCTTAATAAAACAAAAACCACCCTCACAATTTTCTTGAGTTAATATTATTCTCCTCACTCTAGCTGAATTAACATACCCGTGCAGACCACTAAACAAAGCAAGGGAAAAAAACATGGATAGATTTAATGATTAGAGGTATATTAGCCTATGAGATAGAAAAACTGGGTTATTTTACCATGTAGGGGAACTAATTATTCACTTGAGACTTCATTTCTCTTTGGAAGTTTCAAGAAAAATAGAACAAGAGAAAATCAAGCCTATCTTTAAGTTAATAAGCAATTTTTAAAAGTACATGGCTCAGAACTTAAACTTCAGTAGTCCCATACTGAAGGTACACAATTAAATACATACTTTATTTTTTGCTGCTTCAGCTTAGTGAGAAGTTACTTTCATTTCCACACAATTTCTGAAACAGCTATATTTTTTATATGTATATACTAATTTTGTATGCAGTAAAAATCAATAGGGAATTTCTAGAATGAGATCTATATCTTACAAGTAAATTCAAGTTGGTAATGAGAATGTCATACCTTTTTCCACATGGGTTTTGATCCCAGCTCTTCTCTCCCTAGCTTTCTGGGCCATTTCTCTCAGTTTCTCTTCATGTTTCTCTTTTTCTTTTTGAGCCATCTTTCTCTCTACTTGAGCCCGCATTTCCACAGCTTCACGAGCCTGTTAGTGAAGTCAGATGTTAAATAAGATGCTATCAGGGGATAGATTATAGCTATCATAACATCTGGCTTGAGAAAGCAGCTAGACTGAATTCAGATTTGTTATTGCTAAGTAAAACAATGATTTTTGTCCACTAAAAGATAGCTTTACTGGAAGACACCATAAACTTGGATTTTTCACTCTGGGAAATGTCTTATTAGTTAAAACCATAGACCTCCCCATCCCCCCCAATTTTGAAAGTCCGTATTACACTAATGCTTTCTTTTTTTTTTTTTTTAATATATTTTATTGATTTTTACAGAGAGGAAGGGAGAGAGATAGATAGTTAGAAACATCGATGGGAAAGAAACATCGATCAGCTGCCTCCTGCACATCTCCCACTGGGGATGTGCCCGCAACCCAGATACATGCCCTTGACCGGAATCGAACCTGGGACCTTTCAGTCCACAGGCCGACGCTCTATCCACTGAGCCAAACCGGTTTCGGCTACACTAATGCTTTCTTATAAACAATCTAAAAAAAAAAATCAAAGAAAATTCCAGTAAAGTAATTTTTAATATCAATAACATAACAGGAACTGATTATGTTCTCAAAATCAATGAAGTGACCTCAAGATAAAGCTTTAACCTATAAGAGATAATTTTTATAAGGGTGTTCATTGTAATACAAAAGACATACTTTTCTATGTTCTAAACATGTGCCATGATGTATGTGAATTTCAAAGTCACATATTAATACTATGCTATTAAGACAGCCAATACTATGAATGCCATATTCTATACCATTCAACTCATCAAAATGTTTACTTGCCCTTTCCTGCTACTGATTTTTTGGGAAACATCTACATCTAAAATAGAGAAAAAGTATAAAACCTAATAACAGCAGCTGGCAATCTTCACAAAATGAGATCAGCCTAGTAAACCATTATTCTGAAATTTGAGGCAACTCCAGTAGTGAGATTTGTTTATGAGTCTGTAAAGGCTGAGACCAGATACAGAGCTGCAACTAGCACCTGCCATCTCTGGCTCTCATACCACAGGTGAGTCTCTCTAGGTCAGTGATGGCGAACCTTTTGAGCTCGGCGTGTCAGCATTTTGAAAAACCCTAACTTAACTCTGGGGATGTGTCACATATAGAAATTTTTTTGATATTTGCAACGATAGTAAAACAAAGACTTATATTTTTGATATTTATTTTATATATTTAAATGCCATTTAAAAAAGAAAAATCAACCAAAAAGATGAGTTTGCGTGTCACCTCTGACACGCGTGTCATAGGTTTGCCATCACTACTCTAGGTACTCAGTACAGTAGCTACAATAACAGCATCTTAGGTATCCAAGGATGTATTTACAAATCATCAAGAGCATTATATAATCTACACTAATAAAAGAGAAAGAAGCAAATTGACCATACCTTCATGATGCCCACCAGCCAATCAAGAGTGATTATGCAAATCAATCTAACAAAGATGTTGGGTTAATTTGCATATGCAGGCATCGAGCAGCCGGGGGCACTCTGTACTGCCCCAGGTGCTCTGGGCTTCTGGGCAGCGCAGGAAGGCAGAAAGGCGGCTCCGTGCCGGAGCGAAGGCAGTGCTGGCAGCCAGGGGAAGGCCCATTCTTGCACAAATCTTTGTGCACTGGGTCTCTAGTTAAATTATAATAGACCAACCTTCCGATCAGCAATGTAGAGGGCTTCAGCCAGTTTAGCAAAATTTTCATTGATGTGAACTGTCTGCAATCCTCTTCCATCAGCAGCCAGACGTTTGTCTAATGGAATTGTATAACCCTAGTGTGAAACAGACAGAGAAAACAGTCACAAAGGAAAGACAATAGATTCTTTAAAATTAGATTTAAATATGTCCATTCTGACCTATTTACATATAAACCACTTAGTTGAATTTCTTTTCCTTACATCTTTCTTCCTAATTATGCAACAGCAGCAGCTAACACTAACACTGAGGGCTTTATGTGGAGGATTGTTTAAGCACTTTACATGTTATGGTCTCATTTAACCTTCAGAGTAATTCTATAAAGCTGATAACATTACTGTTTTCATTTTATAGATAAAGATACTAAAATAGAAAGGTTGGTTGTGTAATGTCCCTAAGGACATATAGTAAAATAAGTGGATGAGCTAGGATTTAAACTCAGACAGTATAATTTCAGAGCTCATGTTCTGGGAAAATAGATTCTCAGGTAAATAACTGTGACTTGTATTAAGAGGAAATCACTATCAAATAGCTAAATACTTGTTCCTAAGTAAATATAACAGCCACACGAAGGTAGAACAATCCCTAAAATAATAGTATCTATAGGTAGTATAATTTGCTGTACTGTTTTAATGCTTTGGTAGATTCTTGGAACCTTGTTTTAATAGAGGATGAGCCCATAACTTCCTTTAGGGAATAATTTATATGTAATCCATAAGTTAAAGTGGCTTTCACCTATCCAATATAGAAACATGAAATATGACTTGGGAGAAAAAAGGAAATAATGATTAGGAAGTTTATTCCACATCATTTTATAGATTCTTCATGACTTCTGGAAGCTTTGGCAGTTAGTAGATATATAGGATTTAAATAGCTTACACATGCAATGTTATGAACAGAAACAAATAATTTAAAAATTAAAGTACTGTATATATCTAAGCATTTACTGCATTTTGCCAAATAATGATTTAAATTGATTTATTTTTAAAAAAATTTAAGTTTTTTAAAAAATACTATCTTTCATTGATCTTTTGATATGTTACTTTATTCTATCTTTTCCTTTTCTATGTACTTCTGATAATAACTCACTAAAAGAATCTATGGTATTCATGTGCCTGGCATACTAACATTTCTATTACATGGGTGGAAAAAAGAAAAATCACATGTGGGTGTTCCTTTTTTTTTTTTAATAAAGATATTTTATTCTTTTAAAATTTTAGAAAATGTATTTTTATTGATTTCAGAGAGGAAAGGAGAGGGAGAGACAGATAGAAACATCAATGATTAGAGTGACTCATTGATCAGCTGCCTCCTGCACAACCCACATTGGGGATCCAGCCTGCAACCCAGCATGTGCTCTGACTGCGAATCAACCATGACCTCCTGGTTCACAGGTTGATGCCAACCACTGAGCCATGCCGGCTGGGAGGGGTGTTCCTTTTTGAAAACACTCAGCTAAGTGAGATACTGAGGTTTCACCTAAAGTTATCCAGGCTGAAGCTCAAAGTTATCCAGACTGAGGTTCCTTTCCTGGGTGTTTTCCAGTAGGTTGTAATACTAAAAGACTGATTATATAACAACATCATTACCTTTGCATTTTTCCAGTTTGAAATACAAGGAGGAATCTTCCACTCTTGTTGTTCCTTCACAGTCATCTGAGTTGAGAAAACAGTAGAAAGGACATTTTTAAATTTATAGTCTAGCTAAAAACCCAAGTGTACTCGTTCTTCAAAGGCAGACAGATATATGGATGAATTTAGTCAAAGACTAAAATTCCATTTGTTTGGTAGCTCTATAATCTATGTTCCTACATCATGAGGTCTAGTAATAACTTTAACATAAAAAGTGGAAAATAATCTATAAATTATTTTTGACAGTTATAAATAGTGGCTAGTATTTTTCCATACTTAAAGTGATATAACTTCTTTCAAATGAATACTTGTTCTTTAGTTGGGTCATAAAACATTTTTAAAAGCCACTCAGATGATCAATCAGAGGTCTAACAATTCCAGGTGCTTACTTCCTATAACTATGATAACATCCTTCATTTCAAATAGCAGACCCTACTCATCCATTAAAAACAGGGGCTAAGTTAATAATAAAACTAATAACTAACATTTTACATACATTTTGTTTCCCTTTTAGTTAGTTAAGTCTCAAGTCTCCTCCCTCATTGTTTATTATGTAAAGCTTCAAACACATACAAAAACAGAGAGTATACAAAGAATGTCCATCTTCTTATACAACAGTAACTCAGCTTCATCAATTATTAAAACATGGCCAACTTGTCATCATCACTACCCAACTCATCTCCACAATATTATCATTTCATGGAGTAATATACATTTTTCCTATTTAAAAATCAGCTTTATTTAAGTACAACTGACATGCAATTAATACATATTTAAAGGGTACAATTTGATTAAGTTTTGACACAAGTATATATTTGTGAAACCATCATCACAATAAAAATAGTGAACATCATCTCCAAAAGTTTCTGTGTGCCCTCTTGTTCATATCTCCTCTGCTGCACCCCCCTTCCTCCCCACAGGCAATCACTGATCTATTTCCTGTCATTACAGGTTAGTTTGCATTTTCTAGGGTTTTATATAAATGGAGTCATACAGTATGTAATTCTTTTTGTCTGGCTTCTTTCACTCAGCATAATTATTTTGAGATGCATCCATGCTATTGCATATTATTAAAATTTTATTCCTTTTTATTGCTCAATAAAATTGCTCATTCCATGTATAGATGTCCCACAATTTGTTATCCATTCACCTGTTAATGGACATTTGGGACGTTTCTCCTGGGACATCTTTTTAAAGACTAGTGGTTCATTCTCATGAAGCCACCTACTTACTTGAACCTTGGAGGTTCCATTGGATCTTTCTGCATTTCCACCATACGAATAACCCTCTGTTTTGCTCCAGAGTTGAAAGCCACTCCTTGCTGAGATGGTGTGTATCTGAAGAATACAAATGGAACTAAAGGTATAACTATAGTTCAAACTTTCAATAGGTATTTTTCTTCTATTACAATCCTAAGATAAACTACTGTCAATTCCTTTCACAAAATATTGACAGAAAATTGCAAAATATTTAGGCAGAGCAGATAGCAACAGAGATAAGAGAACTAACAGCAATTATGAGTTACAAGCAAAATGTAAACTAAAGTCATATTAGTTTGCATCTCTATCCATTTTCCACCATGGAAGGCACTATGTTCAATTTCAGAGATAAGAGATCTAGAAAATAGTACCTATTTTGTAAGTCTGCATTTGAGGAAAAAACAATCCATAACATTCTCAGCAGGCAACTATAGTCAGAAACTTTTCACTGATTATCGGTTGTAAAACGGAGAAAGAATAATGGTAGCAGCCCTACCAGCTCCTAATTTTCTCTTAATATCTATTTGTGAATTAGCCCTCCACACAAAAATTTCATTGAGTGAAACACCTCAAAATTTAGAAGTATGATAAGGATGTCTATTATTATTAATTATCACCATTATGGAATATATTATACTATTATTACATAAGTATTACATTATATAACATTAACATATTAATATTTATATTATATAAATATATAATGCCTATTGTATATAAATGAAAAAATTATAAATAGTAATTATGGTTTGGATCATATACTGTAATTGTTAATTTCTAGAAACAAAAAAATATTTTGAAATAGTAGAACAAATATCTTAAAAGTGATACCTTAAAAATGTTCTTTTTTTCTGCTTTCAATTGTCTGCACAGAGTCAATAGACTTTAAGTCATTATTTAAAAATTGCATTTACAATTGTGACTAAGTAGAACAGTGAAAGAATACCAGGATCCCCCACGCCAATCAAGTCTGACATGAAACTAAGACTTCCAGGCATGATTCCTACCGGATATACTGAGCGGGAGCCAGTTTATCAGCTGCTCGAACTGGCATGGCTGCAGCAACCTTCTGTGATACAGATTTTTCTAAGGCCACCCTTGTCTTTTCTGTTATCTGAAATATGAAACATGGCATTGAATGGTTTGAAAGTTATTTTCAATGAATTTTTACATCTTTATTAATTCTATATAGCAATTCCCAGTTACCTCTTTAATAGCTTCTTCATCAGGTCTTTGCAGGTCTGGGTCATCTGCATTCATGACCTCCTTGGGAACCAGGTCAGTGTACTTGCTATAAATGACCTAAAATGTTTAAGCATAAGCAAACTTTAGAAAATCAAGGAATGAAAAGAAGGAATCTGTCCAGGCCGGTATGGCTCAATTGATTGGGTATCATTCTGTGCATCGAAAAGGTTGCCAGTTCGATTCCAGGTAGGGGGCGTACAGGAGGCAGCTAATCGATGCCTGCTCTCACATGATGTTTCTGTCTCTCCCTTTTCCTTCCCCTCTCTCTAAAAATCAATGAAAAACCTTAAAAAAAAAAAAGAAGCAACATCATTAAGTCATTTCAGAAGTCAACATGTCCTCTCAGCAAATTTACAAATTAGGACAAAGATTCAGTCTTTGAGATTTTAAAACCAAAAAAGCTTAAAATATATTCACAAATTGCTGCCCTGGCTATTAAGTTAATAATTTTCCTTTGACCTCATGCATTTAAATTATTTGAGATCTTCAAATCAAGTCAGTGTCCCAATACATTGTGCCAACAAAACCTTATGCATCAGTGATCCCTACTTTTGAGGCTCACCAGGACTTGAAATTAATGATATAAATTGCCCATGGCACCATTATCTTGGATTACAAACTCATCTGAATTTAAGTCAGGTTACCAAATAACTTCCAAATTCATTGGGCCTGAAAATTTCATTGACCTCACCCTACTCAGAATGTTTGTTTTTTTCTGGCATTAACTCTATTCATAGACTAAGAAAAGGAACATGTGCCACTGTCAAAAATCCCAGAACATGCCCTAGCCAGTTTGGCTCAGTGGATAGAGTGTCAGCCTGCGGAGTGAAGGGCCCAGGGTTAGATTCCAGCCAAGGGCACATGCCCGGGTTTCAGGCTCAATTCCTGTAGGGGGTGTGCAGGAGGCAGCCAATCAATGATTCTCTCTCACCATTGATGTTTCTCTCT